GGGGAGAAAGCAAGCCCCGAGCGCCAGCGTGGGAGATGAATCTCCCAGAGGCCTGAGATGTCTGCACAGAGAAACCACCGCGATGGCAGCACTGCAGTTCGTACCGCGCCTGCAGCAAAGTATCGCAGGCAAAACCCTCCTCCTCCTCACCTCTCCTGAAGGCAGGCGATCTGCGAGCAGGCTGACGGCGGCTCCGGTCCCAGGGGAAGCGCAGATCTGCGGTGGGCAGCCCTGCCTTCCCACTGCCCCAGGGACAGGCTGGGATCCTGCCCCGCTGCGCTGCCAAGCCTGGGGGGAAGCTGGAGACCAGCCAACTGCCCAGACCCAAAAGCGGGGATATTAAACTCATCCTGGCAAGCTCCGGAGCTGAGCTGAGGTGGGAAGCGAAGGGAGCCACCGGGAAGAGGAAGGAAAGCCGCCGGAACCCGGAAAGCAGCCGCTGGCACTGTTAACACTTCCCATTTTAATTGTCTTAATGACACCCTGAGGGATAGATGTGGGACTTGGTGAGTGCCGGGAGGAGCTGAGCTGGAACACAGCTGTCACCACCAACCCCCCTCCAGCCCATCTTCCATCAGCCAAGTAATTAGTGCTGTTAACGATGCTGGCTGGAGCGCCCTGCAGTCTGAAATACCCCCATGGCAGGAGAGAGACCCCAGCACCACTGCAGCGGAGGGAACTGGGCTTTCCCACTGCTCCCTGCTGATGCCAGAGGGTCTCCCAGATGGGAGGACCAGACCAGGCACGGTGTTCACCTTCCCAAAGTGCTGCCAGGGGTCTCCTGCTTCCCTTCTCCAGGATGAACCACGACACAGGGGGTGGCACCATCCAGACCGGGACAGGACGGAGACGGCAGCTGGCACTGTCCTGGGCTGCCCAGGGGAGGGGGCACCACACCAACCCTTGCCCCTAACCCTCGCCTGCTTTGTCCTCCCCAGCCCCTGCAGCAGGGCAAGGGCAGCAGCTCCACTCACACCTCGCCTTGGCTCCACAGCGTGACTTAGACGCCAGCAGTGCCAGACACAGAACCACAGAGGTTGGAAGGGACCTCTATGAGCCATCTGCTCCAACAACAGGGGAATGCAAGGGCTGGTGGCCCACCAGGCAGATTCGGGAGCTGCCCACCAGACCCAGGCACCCCACAGCTCACGAAACACGGCCAGGAGCGGCGTGGTGCTGGGCTGCTC